TAACGGCCTCTGGCTTATTGCCCACCCCTGCGGTAATTTTATGTGGCTTTGTAGCAACTGAACCAACATTCTGAATTTCTTACTTAAGGGAAATTACCCCTTTGGGATTATGAGGTGTATCCTTGGCAGCTAGTGATTTTAATCCAATTCCTAGTGAACTAGTGTGCATATCACAAAATAAATCCCGCACTCTCAGTTTACTTGTTGTCTAATCAGAGATACACACGTCTTGATGAGCCAAACCGATCCCTCACCCCTAAAGGTGACCCTGGCATGCCAAGAACAGCACACAATGATATGCTTGTGTTGGGAAGCTTGCACAGCTGCTGTCCATGTTCACACCTGTCCTGTTGTGAAACAAGGAACTACAGCGTCCAAGGCCGTCATTCTAGCCTTTTCCTCACATGTTAAGATTTCGTTGGTAAGGGTTGGAGGAATTAGAAGTGCAAAAAAAGCCAGGAATTCCCGTGACTTTCAAGCAATTCTGCAAATGAAGAGAACAAGTTATTGTTCCCGATAGTTACTGTAGGCAAGCAGTTTTTCTAAAATGACAGCGAGTCAACTAGACAAAAAATTAATGACGGATTAAGGGTGACTACAGTTTCTTCCAGTGTTTTAATAATGTCTTGTGAGTAGGTCTGTTCCCAGAGAACAGTCTATTGAAGGCATGGGAGAATGCAGGTAGAATTATTTTCTTACTATTGTTGAAGAAGGAATTGTGTTACAGTAGTGCATTGTTGATACAGAGTACTGACTTCCACATACCCGACTTTCATTCCTTTCAATATAATACAGCACTTCTGAAAACACTCTGCCTGTCCTTAAGCCATGAATTAAGCAGTCTTCTAGGAGCAGACAAGTAAGAGGTGTAATCTCACCTACTCCACTAGAGAAGTCTCATTTTGTTGCATACAGCAAGGGCTCAATTGTGCTTAAAGGCACAACCCTGCTTTCGGGTGGCATAGAGTTGCCTAACCCTGAGATTCCTTCCTGAATCTCAGGGCTCCTACTGTCCGGGGGAATAGGTCTGTTCCCACTACCCCTTTATGAAGCGTGACTATTTCCCCTCTGCTTTTGGATCTCATTCTGTGGGCAGGAGCAGAGTGGCACTGGGGTGACGGATCTCCCCTTGCTGGTGTCTGTGAAGCCTTTGAAGGCTCAGTGGGAGAAGCTCTTCAACTTTGGCCTGGCCCTTGTGCGGATCATTCAAAGGTCCCTTCCCCATTCGCTGCATATCTGCAGACAGGCCAGGCACAATGCAGGCTCCAGAGTAGCACTGATGTAGCCTGCAATCAGGCATTTCTGTGGAGATTTGGGTGTGTCTGAGGGTGACTTATTTTCTGGGCAGGTCCACATTTTCCACATTTCAAACTTTTATTTGCATTTTTTTTCAATTAGTTCTGCTGTACAGAGCCTCATTACAGACATTGGGCCATGCCCTGATTTCTGTGTGTCTGCTGTAAATGCAGAGTAACTCTGTGGATAAATGTCACTGAGATCAGAATCAGGCCTGGTGCTGCCTCTTCAAGATAATTATTTGGTAGGAGTGCTAAGCCAAAATCCTGTGCCAGTCAGGCCCAATCCTGATGCTGCAGAAATCTTAAATCAATTTTCGTTGTGGGCCAGATATGTCGATATTGAGGGAAAATCTCATGATTTTTTTTTAAAGCTCCTGCCATATATAAGATTTCATGGGTGAACCTGGTGATTAAATTACAACTTTCTCTTCCATCATGTATCTAAAAAGAAACCTTGAATCATTTTGGAAAACTTAATCCCAGTTTTCCTGGTATACCCAACACAATCTCTTTGTTTCTGAGTCTGTGGGAGAATTGAGACATCACCGTTCTGCAGTTAGCAATGACTATATCCCTTAGGCAGCTTAAGGCAGAGCGAATATCCTATTGCTTACTACTTTATCTGAACCCCAATCACTTTCTGAATCCCTCCTCTTTCATTTGCTGGAATTGTTGAAATCTTAGGGATTCTTCTTAAATCGCATTTAGCATTTGGTCTCCGAAGCAGCTCAGAGCAGCAAATTCATAACTGATTCTCATTGAACAAATGTCAAACTAATTTGAGGGGGGTGAAAAATGAAATGATGAATGTCCTTTCCTCCCACGCCCTCAACCAAAATAGCTAGACCTTTTCATATTCTGCCACCTCAAAATGAAATGCTCAAAGTGGGAGCAGCAAACACAGCAGAAGATTATAGTAAAGATCAAGCTAGGAGTGGTAGAAATGTTAAGATTCCTGAGAGGATCAGCCACTCTAGAACAAGGAATGCTGAACAGTGAAACATTTCTAGGGACAGACTTGAGGCATAAGGGTGGTTCCTCTCCCCAGCATCTAGTCACCATAAAAAGGGCAGTTATAGTAAAATTTCCATCAATGAAAAATAACAAATGTCCCTGTGTTGTAAAAACTAGACTCAGAGGCAGCAAACGACGTGGAAAAATAAAAGCATGGAGCTTTTGGGCATGAGTGTTGAAGTCATTGGGAGTCTTTGCATTGACTTCACTGGGCTTTGGATCAGGCCCTTATTTCCTCAGAGGTTTATAAGTGGCCTGGCTCTACCCAAAGACAGGAAGTAGGGAAGAGTTGGAGTCAAATATTCCTGGACTAAAACTGTGCATGTCTTGTTTTCCAAACTGACATGCTGCAGATAATTAAACAAAATTCAGCTGTGGTGTGTGGCAAATTGGGGGCAGAGTCCAGTGAAGGGATTCTTGGCTGCCGTCAATAAGCTACACATATTAGATTAAATGAATCGGTCACGTTTTCCAAAAATTATCTGCACATGACTCCTGAAGCTAAACAGAAAGTCCTGTGTTGCACTGTTGCATGAATAAAGCACATGATGAAAGAGCGGCAGATGCAGGCAACAGATTCCTTCAAGTTAAAACGACTGGGGCAAAATGGAATCTTTGCACCATATTATTAACTCCCAAGAGGTGAGTTGTTGAGAAACCTGTGCAGACCAAGTATTTGGCCCCATAGGCACCAACTCTATGGTTGCTCGAGGGTTCAAGCACCCATAGAAAATAAATAATGGCTGCTCAGCACCCACCAACCACAGCTGTTTGGAGGTGCCACAGATCAGCTGTTCGGCAGCTTGGGGAAGGTGCTTGGTGGAGGGTGGAGAACAGTGGGTGGGCAAGGGGTGGAAAGAGGTGGAGCAAAGAGGGGTCTTGGAAGAAGGGGGGGAGTGGAGCACCCATGGGGAAAAATAAAAGCACCTATGCTTGGCACCCCACTCCAGCTTTGTGCTGTGGTGAACCCAGCTGCATAACTGGCCCTGCAGGAGGAGTGTTATTACCAGCCGATGTAAGGCCATGTCTTCACTCCGGGGAAGATAGATGCTGCCACAATTGATCGTCCAGAGTTTGATTTAGTGGGTCTTGTTAACACTCACTAAATCAAACTCGGGGGCGCCCCATTAGCAGCTGGTACTCCTGCTCCTATGAAGAATAAAAGAAGCCGAAGGGGGCATTTGCTCCCTTCGGCCTCCCACTGTGGGGATGATGGGGAAACTTGAATCAAGGTTCATCAACTCCAGCTATGTAATTAATGTAGCTGGAGCTGACTATCTTGTTTCAACCTTCCCCTTTAGTGTAGATGTGGCCTAAGTTGCAGCAACCCCGGAGGCTGTTTTAACTTTTGTCAAGCTCTTGGTGACTGCAGAGCTCTGAGAAACTGTCCCTATGACTTTGATGGGCCTGACCTTCTCTGGCTGTTGGCACATTTTGATACTCTTGGAGGAAAGGTGCAATATAACTGCAAATGGTTGCTATTATATTAGTTATTGACAAACTGCAGCATCCCTGCCGTAATGCAGGGCTTTTTAAATTAAAATGTCTTTCCAGAATTATGTGTTCCATAGCTATAATGATCTGACTCTGATATTAATTAATAGTCTATACTATTCTAAAATGCATGTTAGAAACAGCAACTGTCAGTTCCTTTGGATCCATAGCTTCAACGCTGAGGCAGAATCTTGGACCTGGGATATCAAGGTTCACGTTTTGCTACAGACTTTCTCTGTGACCTTGAGAAATCACTGGATCTCCCCGTACCTCAGTTTCCCATTTGTAAAATGGGGATAATATTCTCTTACCTCAGGAGTGTCACAAGGCTAAATATTTGGGAGGCACAAATATTTCAGTGATTCGGGAGGGTAAGGGCATGTCACGTAAATACCTCTGTAGAAACAACACCCTTGTATTCAGTCTTGAGAAACAGAAATTATGAGAGAAGACCAGGAGGAAGATTTTCAAAAGTTACAAAGTCCCATTTTCAAAAGTGATACAGGCACTTAGGCTCTTACATATCACTGAAAGCCAAAGGGACTCATCCTCCTAAGTGCCTATGTCTCTTTTGAAAATGGCACTTGGAAAAAATGGGATTGGAGCTTTTGAAAATCCTGTTCCTGATCTTCTTATGCCATTTCAGTTGCTGAGGTGCTTTGGAAAATGTTCAGCCCCTATTTCAGTCCCTTAAGAGGCTCTTTTTAGCTTAAAAAAAATGCTAGTGGAACACATTAATATATATGTTCAACCCTGTGCATCCCTTTAGAGAGCAAAACAAGGGTCTTTTCCAACAAGTGCAGTAGACACAGAAAGCAGGTCCTGTGTGCTCAGCACATTGAACTGAACAGAAATATGTCAGTGAGCTAATTCCTACAGTACATTGGGACACCTCTGTGGAAAAAGCGTTCAGGCCCATGGAAAAGCTTGTAACGGTGGCATTTGCCTGCTCCAACGCTCACTTTGGATGGCTGAAGATACATTTGTGAACAGAAAGTGCAGTATTATGTCATCTTTAGCAGGCATGTGGTGTAGAAAGGATGAAGAGTAACTCAGGCAGCAATGGTGCAAACCTCTTGCAGAACAATGTCCATGTAAACTCTGCTGTGCTTCAGAATAGCATTTGGTAACCTCCTGTGAAGACATGTCATTGAACTTCTCTGTTTAATTTTCTTCTTTAATTCCCTATTGCAGAGCTGAAGGCAAGACCTGGACTCCTAATATTTTAGAAGATGGAAAAGCACAAGCTTACCGGATAAACATCGAATCAGAACCACAGGTCTGAGAGCAATAATTAATGGTCTACTAGCTTGGTAAAAAACACTACTGCTTTCATGTCCTCAAAGAGTGCCCCTTTTCATTTAATAGTAACACATTTTATTGTCAACCAGCTTTCCATTTAACATGTTTTTGTAACTTATTTCATATCTCCTTTCCTTTCTGGGATTGACTTCACTTTGCTCTGCATTCTGTCCTGTCACAGACCATGGTGCGTCTTTTCCTGTGTCAGTGTTTGTTTGCCCTTTTCCTTTTCACTGTCTCCATTCATCTCTGTCTTGTTTTTCCTCTTTTGTATTTTATCTCTTCCCCTTATTTCTCAGTGTCTTCTCCCTGTGCTTCAAAATCTGCGCCCCCCCCCCCCCCAATACTACATTTCTCTAGTCCAAAGACTTTTACAACAAAGTTTTTGGTGGTCTCAGAGTACAACCACCAACTCTTGCTGATGACCTCACTGGCAATTTTTACTAACCTACTTAATTAACTTTAGGAAAAATAAATAAATATGCACATATATGTATTCAAGTCATTATAATTTACTGAGTGTTTCTGCAGACTTGATAATAAAAATAATGTACAGTTTAAGGATGTAAAGAGGTAACTGATAAGCATCACCCTTACTGGTAACCGGTTAACTGGTAGCCCAACTGGGCTGGAGCAGCCCCCTGCTCACGTATCACCACTGGTGGGGGCTGCTCTGACCTGGCCAGGCCCACCATGTTGCATCATGGGCGTGGGGGAGCTGCTCCATGACTAACCTGTTAAACGTAGTGTTTAACCCGTTATCTTTTTAAATGGCGGTTTATATCCGTAGTGCAGTTGCCTCTATTCTTTACTGGACAGAAACAGATGAGGTGCTTTGCATGTTCTTTTCATTTTTCTTGTTGGTTCTTTTGCTTTTCTGGTTGCTTTTTTAAAAAGACGTGCTAGCTAATAAGACTGCTGCGATGAAAAGCGATATCAACAAACCTAAGAATATCACTTTTCCCAGCAGCAGATTTATTCAGCCCTGGCAAGCATGGGGGCAAAGTATGCCCAGGATGGGGAGGTAGGTATAGAAGCGGAGGGGAGGGGATGATGGGATATGGAGCCGCAAGACCAGAGCCTCTCGGCCACCACTGTAGGACAGAAGCCTGGCCCCAGTGTCCCCAGGAAGGTGGGGAACTCAATAGCTGCCTGCTCCTCCAGCGTTTGTGTCTCTGGAGAGGGGCAGGATCCAACTCCTGCTGGTGACCCACCTCATCACTGCCCAGCAGGCTTTGGTTGCAAGGAAAGCTCACAGAAATGCTGCTCTGGTCTAACTGCTCCTCAGTCTCTCTCTTCCCTTCCCCTCCCTCCCATCCTAGTACCCTCAGCCCCTCACACCAAGATTCCCAATAGCAAGAGAACAGAATCCAAACTCAAGATCAGTGTGAAGGACCTACTGTCTTGAGCAGTGTCAGCAGAGGCGCTGGAGCTGTCTGCCTGCAGACTTAGGAAGACAACAGCATCTGGGTTTACTCTAGGTTCCTGTTTGTAAGGCCATCTTTGTGGGTAGCTTGCTTGTCCGTGAAAATTTCTACTTGCCATATTCATGCTGGTTCATTCTGTTACCCTGTTCAGGTGATTGCTGCCTCAGTTTAGTTTTAGAATTTTCTGTAAGATCCTTTACTTTTCTGGCATAACCTCTGGCAATACATTTTCAGGGCTAGCTAATCATGGGCTCTCCCTTCACTCTGCCTGGCCCCATATGAAATTCAGTCCTGGATGGATGTAACAATTACAAAGTTGTAGGGGACAGTTACCGTAACATGGAAAAACAGCAGACTTTTCTTCAGAGAAGAATGAGGAAGTGGCATTAAGACTGACAGCAGAAAGGACCACAAATGGTGAATTCTACTAACAGGAAACTCAAATAGGATTTTAGGAAAACATTGGCTAGCTCTAAAGCAGGCCCACCGATGGGGAGTGGAAAGAAAGGGAGTAACTACCCCAGGGCCCAGCGATACAAAAGAACCCAGAGCTCCCAGCTGCTGCTACTGCAGTGGTGACTGACACTCTGGGCCCTTTAAATCACTGCCAGAGCAATGCATGGCATGTTCTGGGCAGCACTGAGGGCTGCTTACCCCCAGGCCTACCCCTTCTATCTGAGGCTCTGTCCCTCCTGGGGAGTGCAGAGCAGCCTCCCCTGCTTTGCCGAGGGCCCTGGCTAGGCTGTCGGCTCCACTGCTCTAAAGAAACAGTGTACAGTTTTCTACCATGAAGGTTGCATCACACTGGCACCATTTATTCCACAGTTGTTGAAGCACATGGAGGTCTACACCCCTTGCTTTTGAATTCTGGCTTTGCTGGCTTAATTAATCAATTAGGGAGATGAATTCTGACAGACATGTTGGATAGACTTTGAAATGATCAAAACTTTGCATACAGTATTGAATTAGGAACAAATGTTCTCCATTTTGACTGCCAGATGCAACATTTCTGAGGTTTAAAGCAAATTAGATTCAATTTTCCTATTCATGTACATACTTTAAAAAAAAGACAAAGTGACATAAATTATAATTAATGGGACTTTTAATCTGTTATAGAACCATGTTTTTCTGAACCAGAATTTATCCCAAATATGTCCTAACTAGAAATCTGTAAAGCCGGCAGAAAGTACTTAGACACATGAACAGCAGGGTAACATGGAGAAATATCTGATGATGACAAATGACTTTTCACTCTGACCTTCTTCTTGGACTAAATTCTCTCCTGTTGCAAGACAGTAGGCCATTTCTCAAGGCCCCTCCTGTTTCATGCTGTCTCTGGCCAATAGAATTAATGTTTGACACTTTCACCATAGTCTCTGGATACACCCAGGAGTTCTGTGTAGTACCAGGGACTCACTGAGGTAGGGACTATAAAAAAGTGTCGATTGACACCATCCCTATCCAAAAGAGTCTAACATCTCAGAACTGCATGGGTTTCTTACGTGCCAAGAAATGCAGGCAGGCACATACTCACTGTCAGGTGGAGCAGGCTATGTCTTTTTTCCTGTTTGTACAGTGCCTGGCATAGTGCATCTTGGTCCATAACCAAGGTTGTATCAACAGGTGTGTTGTAAGCAAAACTCGTGAAGTCATTCTGCCGCTCTACTCTGCACTAGTTAGGCCTCAGCTAGAGTACTGTGTCCAGTTCTGGGCGCCACATTTCAAGAAAGATGTGGAGAAATTGGAAAGGGTACAGAGAAGAGCGACAAGAATGATTAAAGGTCTAGAGAACATGACCTATGAAGCCAGGCTTCATGAACTGGGCTTGTTTAGGTTGGAAAAAAGAAGATTTAAGGGGGGACATGATAGTGGTTTTCAAATATCTAAAAGGGTGTCACAAGGAGGAAGGAGAAAATTTGTTCCTCTTGGTTTCTGAGGACAGGACAAGGAGTAATGGGCTTAAAGTGCAGCAGGGGAGGTTTAGATTGGACATTAGGAAAAAATTCCTAACTGTCAGGGTGGTCAAATATTGGAATAAATTGCCAAGGGAGGTGGTGGAATCTCCCTCTCTGGAGATATTTAAGAACAGGTTAGATAGACATCTGTCGGGGATGGTGTAGGTGGAGCTTGGTCCTGCCTTGAGGGCGGGGGGCTGGACTCGATGACCTCTTGAGGTCCCTTCCAGTCCTATTATTCTATGATTCTATGATAACTGGGATTCCTCAGCAATATAATATTACTGATAACGATAGTAATTAGAACTGAGCCCTTAAAGGATGCAAGTGGTTGTCTTAATCTTTAAACTTTCTGAGATGTATGTTTCTACTGCTAGCATGTCAGGAATGGCCATGGGTACCTATAGACACTACAGCTGTAGAAGGCCCCCCGTTCCCACCGGAGCTGGGATTATATTGATTGCAGAAGTACTTTGATGTTCAGTGGGAAAGGGGCCATGTGCCAGAAGGCTATCCCTGTGTAATGTTATACCAAACCTTTTAGCAAAGGGTCTTTTATTGAAGTGCAAAAATAAAAGATCCATTGTAAAGTAATAGTTAGTCTCAAAATATGTAACCTCATGTGCACCTGAAAAAAACAATCTGCCTTTAAACCCAAGAATACATAGATCTTTGTGCAAGCCAGCTCATGAATCACAAAAATAGATTTGGGACTCTCCATGAAAAGAACTTGAGGTTTTGTGCTTTCCAGTAATGTGGAGCACATGTATTTCCTTCCTCCAAGGTTTTAGTCTGTTAGTTTTTAGATTGTTCTGTTAGAACAAAGATACCTTGGAAGTGTTTGACTGTTTACTAATTTAATGATTGCCAAATAAAGAAGGGTTTAAATAATAAAATGTTAATTACAAACAAAACAAAAACATAAGAATTTGCTCTAAGGCCTTTGTTCTAAGGCTTTTTTATCTACCAAGGTGATTGTAATGTTTGTAATGCACCTGCCACCCATGTCAGAACACAACCAAAATTATAAAAGACAGCTGAGTGCCTGATTTTCCCTCTTTTTCTCTGTCACATGCAGAGATGTGTGTGTGTGTTTATTATTATGCCAGGTCACTTTGTCTCTCATCTCTTGCAGGGGGGAGTTACAAAACTGTGGGCCAGCCAATGAGAAGCTCTTACAGGTCTTGCTTTTATTCCATCATTTTGCAATAGCTCAATTGGCAAGGAAGTTCCTCGTCATAAAGAGAGGTGGCTCCTGATATACCCAGGACTCCTCCATTGATTGCTTTGGGAACTAATCCCAGAACCTTTAATTTGATATGGTATTCCCAGGGAAACTAATGCTGTCAGAATTGTAGAACTCAGAATCTGAAATGGCTAGTTGGATGATCTTGTCAGCAAAGGACTGTTGCCTATGGTCTGTTTGCTGGTGCTTTGTGTAGTCTGGTTGCAGTTGTCTCAAGCCATAGAGCTTCAATTCTTCAACGTGATGGAACATTGTTAGGAACTTTTCCTGATATCCCACTTAAACACACCTCTAACAAATAATTAGTATCTACAAACAGTGAGAAAATAGATAAAATAGAAAACCATGA